CCCTCCCCATATTCTTAGGCTATTTGGTTATAGCTTTCGTATAAAAGGTATAAATTAGTTTCATAATAGGGGTGTGTACATTGGGTACTTTTTCCTCCATTCTCGTGATACTTTGCTCAGAAGAACATTCTAACCTGACGTTATTAATTTCATTCACTTCCTTACGGCTTTTGATGTGATTTTTCTTTAGGGAAGATGAACCACCCACCCCTTCCCCCTAGAACAGTGGTTCTCAACCTTCCTAATGCTGTGACCCTTTAATATAGTTCCTGTGGGTCACAACCCACAGGTTGAGAACAGCTGCCCTAGAAGAAAATTGGGAAAGGCTTCACAAATATGGGTCTCTTAAACAATTATTAAAAATTTAACAAGAATAGGGAATGATATTCAGCAGCTTTATTTCACAATTCAACTTCAGAGAAAAGTTTCTAGACTCCTATAAAAGAAAGCTTATTTGGGAAAGATGTTAGCTCATTTAAAATCCTTTCTTGAATTGGGAAGACTATCAAGACACAGACAGTAACGTGTAAAGGGCTTGTTTAGTTTTCCCCATTTATCAAGGAGTGAAATGGCTTCTCTGGGGATCTTTAAAATCCACACTCATGGCTTTGGTCCCTTTTGACATCACAGGTGTTGATGACCATGAACTTCACGAACTCTAAATCCTTTATAGAGACAAGTGCTCCAGTAGTAAAGGACACTGCAGAAATAGTGTGACAAACACTCCTTTGTCTGGTCTTACATGTGAGAAGTAGAGATAGATTATGACAAACCCATCATAAGTTGAGAATAATATAAGTTGAAATGCACTTATTACCCTTAATTTACCAAATGTTATAGCTTAGCCTAGCCTACCTTAAAATCTCTCAGAACACTTCCATTAGTATACTTTTGGGCAAAATCATCAGACACAGACTTTATCATAACATATAAAAATGTAATTTATTGAATACTGTATGAAAGTGAAAAACAAAATGATTGTACTTGAAGTGTGGTTTCTAGTGAATGCGAATCACTCATCATTGACTCGAAAAGTCAAACCACCATTTAAGTCAGGACCATCTGTATTCAATAAATGTAGTATTTACTGATTTGGCTTAACACATAACTGGAAGGTGGGGAATGCAGAATCTAGCATGTAGCTGAATCTTGTCCCAGGTGTAAATAATGGGATTGTGGTGTATATCTTGCATCTGGAGGAATGAAATGATGGTTTTGGAAAGAGAGTTTCAAAGAAAGAAAACACAAGTAGAGAGTAACGCGTGCCTCCTGTCAGCTGTCTGATGAAGGCAGTTTTTCCTGTGGTTAGCACTCAGTTCAATGTCTTTCTAGCTTCAGGAAAATTAGAAAACATATCCTAAGCTACAGCTTAGGATGAGTGATTATTATTATAAGATGTGCTGTGTAGATATGAAGTTTGGCTTTTCATAATTTTCTTTTTCTTTTTTAAGCCAAAGTCTCACTCTGTTGCTCTGGGTAGAGTGCCATGGCATTAGCCTAGCTCACAGCAGCCTCAAATTCCTGGGTTCAAGCAATCCTTCTGCCTCAGCCTCCCAAGTAGCTGGGACTACAGGCACCTGCCGCAAGGCCTGGCTAGGTTTTCTAGTTTTAGTAGAGATGGGGTCTAGCTCTTGCTCAGAACTTCTGAGCAAGTCTTGTACAACTGAGCTCAAGCAATCTACCTGCCTTGGCCTCCCAGAGTGCTAGGATTACAGGTGTGAGCCACCGCACCCAGCCTTTCCCACAATTTCTTGCCATCAGACCCGTCAGTAAGATATGCATACAGTGATCCTAATATGTCACTAGGTAGGCAACTTGGATGCTGTTGACATGTCAATATTTTCCAGATTCACCTGTTAGAGATGCCTCATTATGTATATCTTGTTCTCAAGAGATAGATTTGAAACAGTTGTCAATTATTTATCCGTAATGATATGACACCCAAAAGTTTAAAATAAAAGAATTAGAGAGAAGGAATATTAATTAAATCATTTGAAAACATACATTATATTTAAATAACACATACATGTACTTCTTTAGGGCTTTTGAAGACATTTTTTAAGAATTCTGAAGTCCTCGTTTTGACAATTCTTTCTCTGTCAGGATTCGTGGTAGGACAACTGGCCTATCATTTTGTTGAGGTACGTATGTATAATCAATTAGAAGATAAATCAAAGAACAAATACCAAAAATAAGGTCCACGCCCACCTTATCTCCTAATGTATGGAATGCTTTTTAGTTTTTTCTTTTTTTTACGTGAACAACTACTCAAAAAATTTCACCTGCTATTCAAAATGTTGAAAATAAAAAAACCACATGGTAAAAGACACATAAACAGGGGGAAGCTTAAAATAAAGCAGTAATTGGAAAGTGAGGAAAATTTGTTTCTCTTGGGTTCCTCATCGTCTGCCTTTGAAGCCTGGGCTGGCTCCTTTCTCCTCTGTGTTGGCAGGCTTCTTCCCTGCTATTGCCTTTAACACCTGGAGTGACCATGAGTCGTTCTCATCACGAGGCATGATTATTCTTTCCTAACTGTCAGATTCAGTGCAAAACATGAATTACATAGTATAAAATATAGATACAAGGAAAAATTCACTAATTTATCAATTTAGTATTAACTCCTGGTTTCAGCTGCATAGCTAGCAATGAGATCAATAACTATTTGCCTCCACTCGTTCCTTTATTTTTTAATTTTAATTAATTAATTAATTAATTTTGAGACTGAGTCTCACTCTGTCACCTTGGGTAGAGTACTATGGCGTCATAGCTCACAGCAACTCCAACTCTTGGGCTCAAGCAATCTCCTGGACTCAGCCTCCCAAGTAGCTGGGACTACAGGCTCCCGCCACAATGTCAGGCTAGGTTTTCTACTTTTAGTAGAGATGGGTCTCGCTCTTGCTCAAGCTGGTCTGGAACTTCTGGGCTCAAGCAATCCACTGTCCTCAGCCTCCCAGAGTCCTAGCATTACAGGAGTGAGCCACTGCACCCAGCCATTCCTATATTTTTTATAAAATGGAGATAATGCTTAAACACATGTAGGATTGTAAAAGTCTCAGTCTTCTGAGATACCACCACTACTGCTAGCTAACATCTTTTGTGTATTTACTATGTGCTAGGCTGTTTTATGTGTTTTGTGCTTATTAATTAGCTCATTAACCCTTCAGTTAAATCATTTACTCTTAGAGTGATCCAGTGGGAGTAAACACTCTGTTCCCATTTTACAGATAAGGAAACCGAGGCCCAGGGAGGTTAAGTAATGAAAGTTAAACTATTGATTGGGTCAAAATAAACATTTTCGGAGGGAATATTTATAGCACTTCAATCACTGTTGTATTTTCTGTTAATCTGTGTACATACAACCTTCATGATTTATGTCTTAAAATCTGTACTATTATTTATATATTTTTTTCTCTGTTGACTCGCTAAAAGATTTTAGATCCTAAGCAAATGTCTGTGAAACCACAAGTACTTGTTTAAGATTCTTTCTCCCTACTTAATGCAAATTAAAATAAACATCTAACAGTCAGATAAAAAAATACCTGTGAATCACCTAAAATATTTTCTGATAACAGGGAATATCACAGGTGATTCACAGGTCGCCACCAATGGTGGCGATTCTACTTTTAAGAATATTGATTATACTCCCACAATTCTCTTTCTATATAAAGAGGACTATATACATGTGTCAGTATATAGCCCATCTGGATGGTTAGATCAACTTTGCAAAAATATGGTCCACTCCCACCTTATCCCCTAATGACCCCCAGGATCAACCTTGCAGATAATCTGTCATTAGCTGCAGATTGCAATGTTTTAAAATTTATATTGATTGACATAACACCAACCTAATTTCTTTTTCCTTTTTTTTTTTTTTTTTGAGACAGAGTCTCACTTTGTCGCCCTCTGTAGAGCCCTGTGGCATCACAGCTCACAGCAACCTCAAACTCTTGGGCTGAGCAATCCTCTTGCCTGAGCCTCCCCAGTAGCTGGGACTACAGGTGACCACCACAATACCAGGCTAGTTTTTAGAGACAGGGTCTCCCTCTGGCTCAGGCTGTTCTCTCTCTCTCTCTCTCGCTTTTTTTTTTTTTTTTGGTAGAGACAGTGTCTCACTTTATTGCCCTTGGTAGAATGCTGTGGCATCACAGCTCACAGCACCTCCAAATCCTGGGCTTAGGTGATTCTCTTGCTTCAGCCTCCCGAGTAGCTAGGACTACAGGCGCCCACCACAACACCCGGCTATCAGGCTGGTCTCTTACTCCTGAGCTCAAGCCATCCACCTGCCTCAGCCTACCAGAGTGCTGGGATTACAGGCATGAGCCACCAAGCCCGGCCATCAACCTAATTTCTAATACTTGAAAATGGCCACAAACTAATTCCTTATTTGCCTTTGTTACTTTAGGTGCACCAAATCGTCTACCCTCTTCTAAGAACACCAAGTTTTGCACTTTATTCTTATTTTTCACCTTTAATTATATTTATGGCTGCTTTGGATGTGGACTATTACGTGCTCAAGAACGTGTTCTGGCAGGTAGGAACACATTTTGAAACAAATTATTATCTACTTTCCACTATCTCAAATACTTTCCATGCTCTGTTACTTCATTCTTGAATTCCCTTAGTTGCATGTTAGATTTTCTCATCATATTCTCCATGCCTTCCAGGTCTCTCTCTTGTTTCTCTATGCTTATTCTATTTAATTTCCTCAAATTCAGCTTCTCACTCACTACTTTTTCTGTAGTAGTGTCTAATTTCCTGTTTAATTGAATCACTGAAAATTTCAACCTTCATTTTTTTCTAACATATGCGTTTAAAGTTACAAGCCCTGCTTTAACTGCATCCCTCAAGTTGTGATATCTTGTTTTCTTTGTGATTCAGAAAGAATATTTAAAAACTTGTACAAAAAGGAAAATTCCTAAAAATATGTAAGTTTTCAAAACTTACCCTAGAATTTAAAAAGACCAAATAGCCTCATAGCCATTAAAAAATTGAATTGGTAGATAAAAATATTCCAAAAAAGAAGATAGGCACCCTTATAACTTGGACTCAAACTGTGCAAAAGCAATTTATGTAGCCAAAATGTTTGTACCCCCATCGTAGTCTCAAATAAAAATAAATGAATAAATACATTTTGGAAGAAAGACTATTTTAGACTAGTTCTGTGAATCAATATAAAAGATACCTCCAATCTTCTATCTGACCAAAAAAGTAAAAGATGAAACCCTCCCACACTTATTTTGTAAGGTCTGTTTAATCAGAACACCGAAACTAGACAGGAATGATAGAGAAAAATCATGGGCCAGTCTCCTTCAGATAGTTATTATAATTCTCTACAAACGTTTGGCACAAATATATTCAGGAACATAATACTAGAACCACGATTAAGTTGTATTTAGTTCCGAACTACAAAGTTAATTTAACGTTAAAAATCTCTTTTATTTTTGACCTTCAGGTTAATGGGAGGGTACAGCCAAAGCACAGTATTGGAATTTCTTAGGTAGAGGCCCTCTGGTAGCTGTGCTCTGCACCCACAAGGTGTGCCGTACACTCCTACACTGTGGCCATTCAGTGGGAGCACTCCAACCCCCCACCTCGTTCCTCCTCCTCCCAACTTGAATTGAATACTATTCAGCCATAAAAAATAGATGGTGACTTCACATCTTTTTTATCAACCTGGATGGCACTGAAACACATTCTTCTCAGTAAAGCATCACAAGAATGGAAAAGCCAGTATCCAATGTGCTTAATACTAATATGAAGCCAGTAGATGATCCAGTTCACGTCCACCTGAAAAGACCTCTTTTTTGTTTTTTGAGACAGAGCCCCAAGCTATCCCCCTGGGTAGAGTGCTGTGGCATCACAGCTCACAGCAACCTCCAACTCCTGGGCTCAAGCAATTCTCTTGCCTCAGCCTCCCAAATAGCTGGGACCACAGGCGCCCGGCTATTTTTTGGTTGCAGCCGTCGTTGTTTGGCGGGCCCCGGGCTGCATTCAAACCTGCCACCTTAGGTATATATGGCTGGCACCTTAGCCACTTGAGCCACAGGTGCTGAGCCCTGAAAAGACCTCTTAATGTATTCATCTTCTTAGGAGGTTTCAGAAGAGAAGCCATATGACGTCACAATAGATATAGAGAAATCACTTGCTAAAGATCAACATTTGATAAGAAATCATTCATAATAAAATACAGGATAGAAGAAAACTTCTTTAAATCCATTCATAATAAAAATGTGGAATAGAAGAAAGCTTCCAAACGTTTATAATAAATAGCCTTAGAGGGACAATCAGGAGAAACAGGACCAGCAAGAGATCTTGAAAATTGAAAATATGATAGCTGAAATAAACTAATTCAAAAAAAGGATTTAATGGGAAAGTTGTTTAACGGTCCCAGAAAGTAAGCAAAAGATAGAGATGGAAGATAAGGAAAGGGTTGAATGACACAACTATCTTTTTCCTGAGCAATAATTTTGGGAAATAACTATTTTATTATACTCAGGCATAAAAAATGCATTCAGAGAAATTACGGACTGTGTAAATCACTTAATCTCAAGCATTTCATGGTTTATTGCCGAAATATTCATTTTAAAATTAATAAGAGGTAAAGGAGGGGTCTCCGCCGACTATTTTAGAGGCTTGGTATATAAATTCGGGTCATGTATTAGACATAATATATCAGCAACAATTTATTTTCAACCCTGAAGAAGCCAGGATAGGTTTTGTATAGAAGCAGGAGAAATTTGCATTCTGTCTTAAGAACGTCTTGATATTGAGGACTATGAAGCTGGAATAACAATAAGAAAGAAAGTTGACTAAGTCTTATTAACAAGAAGGAAAGAATCTTCTTCGAGAGCGGTGGTTTATTTGAGGCAGGTGGTTAAACTAGAACACCTTTAAAAGTTATTTTCCCATAGTAATTATATATAAAATTTATGACCACCACGTGACTTTTAGGACCTGAGTAACTTATACCATGCCACCTTTAGGTGTTAAGTATAATACTACATTATGCATTGGTTCACAGGTCTTGTTAACTGGATTAGTTAGCTTTGCTACAGCGCTCATCATCATCGGATATATGGTTCTGAAATTCAATAAAGCTTCGTGGGATCTGCAGTCCTGCCTACTCTTCAGCATCACCCTCAGCGTTACAGATCCTATCCATTCTGTGAATTCTCTGAAAACTATTGGTATGGGTATGTTACATTTATTTCTCTCTCTTATTTTGGAAACGTAAAGGTATGTTGTTTTCTTTTGATGATTATTTTTGGCATGAATGATGCATCCAAGCCGAGCAGGCATTTGTGCTTCTCTTTTTGGGGATGGAGCTTACTTGACTTGAAGGAAACAGAGCAAATAAGATCAACTACTGAAGATCTGAGATAAACAGCATCAATTATATTGATAACCTCAAAGGATTTTTTTTGGAGACAGAGTCTCACTCTGTCACCATGGGTAGAGTGCGGTGGCGTCATACCTCACAGCAACCTCAGACTTCTGGGGTCAAGTGATCCTCTTGCCTCAGCCTCTTGAGTAGCTGGGACTACTCAAGGTGCCCTCCACAGCCTGGCTAGGCTTTCTATTCTTAGAAAATGGAAAAGACGGGGTGTCTGTCTTGTTTAGGTTGGTCTCGAACTCCTGAACTCAGGTGATTCTCCCCCCACCACCCTGTTTCACCCACCCAGAGTGCTAGGATTATAGGCATGAGCCACTGTTCCCAAGGCAGTTTTTTTTACTAGTAAGACAAATTTGCCTTGTTTTTATGGGGGAAAGTGACTCTCATGTTTGATGTTGACAGGAGCACTATATAGTTCCTTTGTGTGAATTAGGTAAATAGTTCTTTCTTCAAAACAGTTTACTTCTAATTGTCATATTACTTCTTTTGAGAAAAAAGAATTTTTTTTTTGCCACGTGCCTTAAATTATCATAATATACAAAAGCACGGTTTCTACGATGTTAACGGCGCCTCTTTAGATGTGATGCCCTTCTGCGCTGTAAATCCGGTACAACCTAAATCTGAGATGAACTAGCTCACTGAAAAAAGTCATAGATGATCATAAGGAAGCTAAAAGGAACTTGTCTATTCATTACCTATTTTAAAAGAGCACATAGGGCTCTCACATAGTTTTTATTAAAGCAAATCTGGAAAAGGATCTTATAAAGGAAGAAAATACAAAGTTTCAGTATGCTCTCTCTTGAGCAAAAAATTACTACATATGCTCAGAAAAAAATTTTCAATGTCCAAATGGTTAGACCTGGTTGTGAAATTATAAGTGATTGTTTTGTTTTCTTCTTTTCTTTTCCAAATCTTACGGTGAATCCACATAAGGTAGTCCCACATTAAGTCAATAAAAAGGTGACGGTAATTCTTATGATATTTTACTATGAAAAATAATTATGAATCAAGTCCAAAACTTTATACACTAAACTTTATATTTCACTTGCCCCCGTTAATTCCTTGAACCCAAGAGCAGAAATAAAAGATTTCCTCACCAGATAAATCAAATGTGTTAATAATCTCATAATATGTCTAACCTTGGTCATAGACAAAGTTGGTAACAAGTATTAACATGAGATGACTGTGATTTATCTTGATAATAGCAGATTAGGACTGCAGAAGATAGGATTAGTGAACTTGAAGACATAACAATAGAAAATACCTAAAATAAAACACAGAGGGAAACAGACTGGGAAAAAATGAACCGAGCATCAGTGAGCTATGGACAACTTCAAGTGACCTAATGTACGTGTAAGAGTCTCCAAAAGAGAGGAGAGAGAAGAACAGGAATAGTCGAAGAAATAATAGATGAAAAATAGCTAAGTGTGATAAAAATTAAAGCCACAATTTCAAGAAGCTCAACGAAGCCCAAATCCAAGAAACACCAAAAATACTATGCCAAAGTGTATAAAAATTAAATTCTTTAAAACCAGTGGTAAGGAGACAATTTTAAAAAGTTGCAAGAAAAAGAAAAAGAAACATTATATTTAGAGAAAAAAAAAAATAACATCAGACTGCTCTTCAGAAACAATGCAAGCCAGATGATGGTACAGCAACATTTCGAAAATATTAGAAGAAAAATACTGCCATCTCAGAATTCTATATTAGGTTAAAAAAAAAATCTTTCAAAAGCCAAGGTAAATAAAGACTTTCTTAAACATACAAAAGCTGAAAGAATTTATCACCAGCAGACCTGCCCTACAAAAATGTTAAAAGAAGTCCTTCAAGCAGAAAGAAAGTATCAATGCTGGCTGGGTGTCTGTAGCTTAGCAGCTAGGGTGCAGGCCACAGACACCAAAGCTGGTGGGTTTAAATCCAGCCTGGGCCTGCCAAACAACAACTACAACCAAAAAAAAAAAAAAAAAAGACGGGCCCTGTGGTGGGTGCCTGTAGTCCCAGCTTCTTGGGAGGCCGAGGCAAGAGAATTGCCTAAGAGTTTGAGGTTGCTGTGAGCTGTGACAGCACAGCACTCTACCCAAGGCGACAGCTTGAGACTCTGTCTCAAAAAAAGGAAAGAAAGAAAAGAAAAAAAAAAAAGAAAAAGAAGATGACAACACGTAGAAATTTGGATGAGGAATCTACTCAAGCCTCTGGCAAACACTGACCTATTTTGGTGTCAGGGTATTTGCCTATTCTGGATATTTCATATAAATCAAATCATATAATGCATGGACTTTGTGTCTGGCTTCTTTCACTTGGCACAGCGTTTTCAAGGTTCATATGAGTATGTCTCAGTAAAGACTTCCTTTCTTTCTATGGAGGGATAATGTCCCATTGTGGGACCACACTACCTATTTATCTGTTCATCTGCTGGTGGACATTGAGCCATTTCTACTTTTTGGCTGTTGTGAATAATGCTATTATGAAGATTTAGGTACAAATCATGGTGTAGACATACATTTTCAATCCTTTGGGGTATTTACCAAGGAGTAGAACTGCTATGTCATATTTTGTACTTCTAAAATGAGGTTCTTCTGGAGTCTGACCGATCGAAGCTAAATGTGGTATACTGAGATGTATTTGTCTCATTCTGAAGTTCAAGCATGGTTAAGACAATGGGCAATAAAAGGAGGGCTATTGCCATTGGAAATATAGATGCACAATGAAGAACTTTTTTTTTGAGACAGAATCTCACTTTACCACCTTCAGTAGAGTGCCGTGGCCTCACCGCTCACAGCAACTTCCAGCTCTTTGGGCTTAGGCGATTCTCTTGCCTCAGCCTCTGGGTAGCTGGGACTAGAGGCACCCGCCACAATGCCCAGCTATTTTTTGTTGCAGTTTGGCCAGGCCAGGTTTGAACCTGCCACCTTCTGTATCTGGGGCCGGCACCCTACCCACTGAGCCGCAGGTGCAGCCCACAATGAAGAACTTTTAAAATGATGACTGTGAGTTTTCTTTCAGACCCATCCCAGTCATGGTTCTTCTCCTTCTCCTCCTTCTCCCCTGCCCTTTCCCATCCTCCTCTTTTCCGTTTCCCCTTCTCCCCCAGCTCTTCTCTGTTTCCTGTATAAGAATGTCATTTTCATGTATTACATTAAATTATATGTTATGTTTCTTTTTCCAGGCATTTCTAAAATGTACACTGATATTATCAGAGGAGAATCATTGATTATTTGTGGAATCACATCCATTTGTTTTGGAATTTTTCGGAGCAACTCAATACATATTTCTGATTTTAGTGGTAAGAGTGTTTTTTTTTTTTTGATCTGTATATTTTCTAAAATCATTCACATTAAAATTAAAATACATTCACAATGTCTTAACTTTGCTGCTTTCTCTATACCTTACTATTGGGCTGATTTCAATGATGTTTTGGGTACCAAGAAAACAATTTTAGTTAACTCTCCACATCTGGGGATTCAACAAACCACAGAAAGAAAATTTTCAGAAAAAAATATCCAAACCTCCCCCCAATACAACAATATTAAAATGCAAATTAGTAGACAATACAGCGTAACAACTATTTACATGCCATTTACAATGCCTATTAGGTATTCCGAGTAATCTAGGGATGATTTAAAAGTACACAGCAGTATGTGCTGTAGGTTATATGCAAATACTATGTCATATCAGAGACTTGTGTCTGCAATTTTGGTATCTGCAGGAGTTCTTGGAACTGATACCCCAAGAAAACCAGAGGTATGACTGTATTTGTTTTCTTGGACATTAAGGGGGAAAGAACATTAATTATTTCATTTCCCTCAATGTGCATAAATGCCTGTGTACACGCACTGCACAATTGCATCACTTGGCTCAGATTTACTTCTTTCTTGGATCAATGAATAGTTAAGAGCTCAGTCCTGAGTTTAAATCTGAGGGTGAAAGCAGAATGGTTAGAGCAGTTCTGGAAAGTCTGGTCCTAAAAGTGACAACAGCCAAATTTCTGTGGCTAAAACTCATTGGGAGATAGAACATGTTGCCTTGCTAGGTTTCGAAATACGGTATTAGTAGACATCCATGGGGGAAAAAACTGCAGCATGAAGGAAGAAAAGTGTCTTCCTGATATACTTTTGTGATAATTGTAAGAGGAGGAAGGTGCTAAAAGGAAAAAGAAATAGTGGTGAATGAGGAGGGGTTTGCAGTGCTTCTCCGTGAGGCAGCCATCAGGCAGGACAATTCTGTCATGTAGGACTTTGCTTTTTAGCACTGCCCTGATACCTACTCCCTGGCGCGAGTGCCCCTCTGTTATTGTGATTATTGAAAATTTTCCATCTTCATTTTCCAAGATCCCCCTGAGCTGGAGGCAGGGGTCTCAAACTGACTTTAGGTTGGCAGGGACCCTGGGCATAGTTTGGTTGGCCCTAACCAGTTAAGAAAAAATTATATTTATTTTGTTTTTTTTTTTGAGTTAGGGTCTTGTTCTGCCACCTAGGCTGGAGTGTGGTAATTAGATCATAGCTCACTGCAGCCTCAAACTCCTAGGCTCAGGCCATCCTCCTGCCTCAGCCTCCTGAGTAGTTGGGAATACAGGTGTGTGACACCATGGCCAACTAATTTCTTGACATTTTTGTAGAGACATGGGGTGGGGGTTTCTATGTTGTCTAGGCTGGCCTCGAACTCCTGGCCTCAAGAGATTCTCCTACCTTGGCTTCCCAAAATGCTAAGATTAGAGGTATAAGCCTGACTGTTTATAATCATTTTTAATTTGGATGCCTTTCACTTTGCAGTTTGTCTCAGCATTTTTACATTTACACTTTTGCCTGTCTCCTGAGGACATTTTAATCTTCTGTCCCTGGGTAAGCAAACCTTAAGCTGCAGACTTTAAGAGAAGGATAGAGAGCCTCTTAGGCCAGACTTTCTGGCTATGCTCCTATCTGCTGAAGAATGAGGCCTCCACCCAAAATCCCAAGAGCAAACCAAAGTGCATAGTCCCAAATGCCAACAATGAAAAGAGACCAAAGTTACAGCTCAACTTTCTGTTTCTTATTTTCTTTCTTTCTTTCTTTCCTTAGAGTTACATATCATCCTGAGGCTCAGCTTGGATGTTGCTGGAAGCATAATATGTGGATATTGGTGTGCAAAAATCATTAAGTTTATATTGGCTGACCTTTTTAGCAATACACTGACTAATCTCATTCTCTGTTTCTCAATGGTGTACACGACTTTCTACATTGGTAAGGCAGAAACATACAAAAAATGCTTTCCTTAAAGTAAGCTTTATACGTCTTTAGTTTTTTTTCCTGATCTGGAATCCAGTTGCTTCTTTCCAAAACTCCCCCTTTTTGTGACCCCTCTGTGTGTCTTGTCATGCTGTCTTATAGCCACCTCTAGCTCTTTCCTGATCTCTCTTCTACTTGTCCCCTCCCCCCTTCTCTGGGGTTATTCTTTCTGAGCTCTACCGTTGACCTTTTACGCAGTCACTGGCCGTCTCTCAGAGAGGAATCAACACAGCTCATTCCTGCTCTGACCCAGAGTAACCTACCTATAAAAAGAGAAAGTTGGGGTGGTGCCTGTGGCTCAAAGGAGTAGGGTGCCAGCCCCATATGCCAGAGGTGGTGAGTTCAAACCCAGCCCCGGTCAAAAACTGCAAAAAAAAGAGAGAGAGAGAGAGAGAGAAAGTAAGTTGGAGAGATACTCCCGAGGTCTTTTCCAGCTCAACAAAATGGATACAAAATGGAAAAGGCTGTAGAAATGGCGTCTCTTACCTGAGGCTAGGAGGCAGGAAAGGAGAAGGTATATGAATGTCTGGACAAACATATTTATAAGGTATATTTGTGTCTGGAAGAGTAGCAGGAGAGTATACTGATAGCAGGAGTAAGAGTGCCCAGCACTGCTGGACCTTTAGCTAGTATAGTCCAGTGAAATTGGGAATTAAGGTGTTTACTGGCCTGAGGTTACCCGTCCCCAAGAGTCATAGTAACTGGCCAAACTGTCAAATTCCTCTGATCTGTCTTTGCTCTGATCTCACACAGTGAAGCAACTTCCATCTATGAAAAGAGTTTATGTTTTAGGAGTTTAATTACTCCTTTTTCATCTCCAGTTACCCCAAAACACTTCTTCCTTTTTTTTTTTTGAGACAGAGTCTCACTTTGTCACCCTTGGTAGAATGCTGTAGGCGTCATAGCTCACCACAACCTAAAACTCTTGGGTACAAGCGATTCTCTTGACTCAGCCTCCCTAGTAACTGGGACTATGGGCACCCGCCACAACGTCTGGCTAGTTTTTATTTTTTTTGCAGTTTTTGACCTGGGCTGGGTTTGAACCTGCCACCTCCAGTATATGGGGCCGGCGCCCTACTCCTTTGAGCCACAGGTGCCGCCCATCGTCTGGCTATTTTTTTTAGAGATGGGGGGTCTTGCTCTTGCTCAGGCTGGTCTTGAACTCCCAAGCTCAAGCAATCTACCCACCTCGGCCTCCCGCAGTGTTGGGATTATAGGTGTGAGCCCCTGTGCCCAGCCAGCACTTCTTCTAAAGGTAACTTACCTGGGGGATTGCTGCTGCCCCGAATCAGTAAAACTATGGAAAACATTCACTGGAGCCTCATTTCCCTCCACCTTCTTCAGTTTTTTCTCCTCCTGTGAAGTTTTTATGGATGTCTTAAATGTCTGAAGAAGAAAAAAAATTTAAATTTAATCTGTCTCTCTATTAGCCTGTGAGTTCTTTGAAGTGTAGGCTGTTTCTTAGTCATCTTTCTATTTGTTCCCTTTTCTAAGTTTGGAGCTCATCATGTGCCCTATAGTAATTGAACACATACTGGTCGAATAAACTGCGACAGTCCTAGAAGAGCTTTGGAGTTAGGCAGACTTGGAAAATTGCTTTACCTCTCTAAATTTCAGTTTTCTCATACTTAAAAATAGTAGAGTATCACCTGATTGATGGAGGGCACTGCAGGCATTAACAAGATAATGTGTGTTATGTGACTCACCTGTGGAGATAGCTCTTCCTGGCTTGCCACAGATGATTCTGTACATTTCTTCCCATCTGTATGTTTAAGTGACATCATGTTGGTAGCTTGAAATTGGCCAAAGTGGGAGTCTTTACACCATGGAAATTTGAAGATGTTACAACCGGGCTTTCCTCTCAGCCCCAGAAAGCTGGTTTTAAACATTTACCTGCACACCACTGGGCTCAAGGTAGGGCAGTCAAAAAACAGGTTCATTTCCTCTTTACTTCTGAGAAATGGGGGTGCTTTTGGTCAATGCTTGGCATCCTTCTAGTCAGATATAATAGGGTGTGAATTGAGGGCCAGAGGATAGGGTGGGGTTCCTGAGTCTTTTAGCATTATTTCCACATTAGAAGACTCCCTGAAGAATAACTTTTAAGTTGGGATAGGGTTGTCATCTCGTTAAGCAGTGTGGACTCCTCAGGCTCGTTCCCGTATGCCACCAAAATGCTCCATCAGTTCAGCTCAATTCAGTGCAAATCAAATGTTTACCAAAAATATACTTCAGAGGTATGATTATTTTGTGCTAATTAGACAGCACTGTAACATATTTGCAGCTGATTTCTATGTGGCCTTTTAATCCACACAGCTGTAGAGCATAAGATCTTGAAACAACTGACCCACTTGTGACTTCATAGAGTACAGGGGCCTGAGCAGAATGCTGGTTCTAGTCTTGGCTCAGGCTCCAACTAGCTCCATCACTTCACATTAGTACTCTAGGTGTTTGGGGGCCTTAGCTCTCTCACCTATAAAGTGAGGAAATTGAGTAAGGTAGAGGTGGGGTGGTCAACAACTGTCTCTCTGTGGAGGAAAAAAGCCCTGGTTTGCTGTGTTCACCAATTTTCATGGTATAAATTTACCCACCATGGCTGATACCCCAAACGGCTTTGCTCAACAACTGGCTTCACTATTACTGCAAATGTAACAGTTAACTTTCCCAAGTGGGTACAAGGTCTCTAATGATCAGCCTTAAAGAGATTGATGGTTTTCTCTAGAAATGATGCCTCAGAGATTGTAGCTACTACCAGCAGAGAGGAAATATCTTTATTTTGGTTGCGTTTGTTTAGGGAAGACCTACTGCAGGGTGGGAATCACCGAGCCAAGGCAGGAATTTGGCATTGACCACTCAGGCTTACATACATCTGAGTCAGGATTCTGATGGGCTATAAATACTGATTTAAGCCAATGATTCTTCATAGCCTCAGGGCCGCACTGTGCCCCTACTCAGAAGGAAAGCCTGCTAGGTAGCCTCCTGTTACAGATTGAATTGGGTCCCTTCAAATCCTAACCCCTAGGACCTATGAAAGTGACTTTGTTTGGAAATAGAGTCTGAAGATGATCAAGATGAGGCCATCAGGATGGCCCCTAATTCGTGAGACTGGGTCCCTTATAAAAAGAGAAATTGGACACAGGGACACATAGAGGGAAGATGGAGTAAAGACACAAGGGGAATGGCAGCTATAAGCCAAGGAATGCCTGAGGCTACCAGATTTTAGATATCCAGCCTCCAGAACTGTGAGACAAAGGATTTCTGTTATTTAACCAAGCATTAAAGACCAACCCCATGCAGTCTTTGACTGCTTAGTTAAGTTATTAAGTTAAACAGTTAATAAGGTCCTGACAAAATAGGCACTGTTCTAAGGAGTTTCCATTGCCAGAAAGCTAAAACAGAGAGAAAATGCTTGTTTCACATTCTTTGATTTTGCATTTCTGTCTGGTTATCCACTTTTGTTCTCCTTCACTAACAAACACACCATCAACTGGCTTAGGTCCAGAGAGTGTCTGATTAAGGTTAGAGAGTCACCTCTTCAAGCGTCTATAATAATTTCCATTTTTATTGCTTCTATGTTAAATTTGCAAAACCCAGACTTTTGGAAATTGCTCCATTTGTATCAATACATTCATTTTTTTCATGAACTAAAATACAAAATTGCATGGACATTGCTACACAAAGGAGGCAATGCTTCTGGAACGTTGTTGGTTGACAGTTGGTTTACCTAGGAATTTTACTGCTATATTGATTGGGGCATTAAAAAAAAGTTTAAATTTAGCGTAAGAAGCCATTTTAAAAGAGTGTCAATGTATAATTCATAAAAGAATGTGGTTTATATAAAAGTCCAGGCTACAGGCATTCCAAGAAGGGGAAAGGGGAGGATCTATTGCCAAGTGTCCTCAAGCTATGGCCTGTGGGCCACATGCAGCCCGCCAAGGACATTTATCTGGCCTGCTGGGTGTTTTTGCCACCGCTGCCTGTCCTGCTTAGCCGCTGACTCGTTCTGGGGCCCACAGTCCGGCCCTCCAGCGGTGTAAGGGACAGTGACCCCTGTTTAAAAAGTTTGACGACCCCTGAAGTCTATCCTATCAGGGAGGGATATTTTATCAAGTGACATTATTTAGAATTTCTGGGCAATGGAGATAATAAAAAGCATGAGGACTTATAGTCAGTTTTATTATTGTTTTAAAAGTCTACAAACCAGGAAGCCCTTTCTTGCCTGTGACTGGGCTGATTATTTCCACTGTCCCTTCTTTATAAGATACTAACTATAGAGAATTGGAAATAAGATTTTAAGAGACAGTTTCCCTGTCATCAGTTTGTAGCACTATTAGTCTTAGTATCATTGGTCATTAATTCATTAATCAATATTTTAGAGTCTAAAAATTGGGTCTCACTGTATTGCCCAGGCTGGAGCGCAGTGGCCATTCATAGCAACGATCACAGCTCACTACAACCTCCAACTCCTGGGCTCAAAGGATCCTCCCGCCTCAGTCCCCTGGGTAGCTGGGACTAAGGCACAAACAACTGTGCTCAGCTGTCCTTGGTTATTTAAGGTAAATTCAGTTAAATAAGTAGGCAAAAAGAAACCTAACGTGAACTCAGGTGATTAGAGAAAAAAAGGAATATAAAAATCCTCTTTATACTAATAAACAACATTAATTTACTAAGCAATAAAGTGATGAGATTAAAATAATTAATAGCATAATAGTATCGATTATCATTTATTCATTGCTTTTGAAGTGTGCGAAGCACTTTTTATGTTCTCAGATTTAATCTTCACAACAACTACAGGGAGCATGACTATTTTACACTATTTTACAAACGCAGGGGAGCTAATGGAGAAAGGGGAGGGTCACACTCCAACAGCAGCCAGCTCTGCCCTGCCCCAAAGCTCTTCCATTCCTCTTTCTCGTGTTCTTTTTTCCTGTCTTTTAAAAATGTGCTATGGGATGACTCTACAGCCTAAGACTATTGGTATTTGTGGTGTTCAAACATTCATGTTTGGTTGTCCTGCCTCAGGCCAGCTTTGCATATTTGTTTAAAGCCTAGTGAATTATAGCTCTGATTAGGGAGGGCTAATATGTATCAGGTGGAAGAGAGCAGGCTTCAGGAACTACAGTAACCGGGGCAGCACTGAGTCAGCCCATCGTCACTGGAGTGCAATGTTTGTGAGGCGCGTAAGCAGCATCCTTTTTCTCAATGATCCTGCACAGCAGGGCTTGGCAACCTTTAGCCTATGAGGCCAAATCTGCCTGTTTTTGTACAGCCTGTTGGCTAAGAATGGTTTTGACATTTCAAATGGTTTAAAAGACACAAAACAAAAGCAGGATATTTTGTGGCATGTAAAAATTACCTGAAATCAAATTTCAGTGTCTATAAATAAGTAAAGTTTTATTGGACACTTATTCACAGACGTATTATCTGTGGCTGCTGTCACACTACAACAGTTGACTTGAGCTGTTGTAATAGGCACCGTGTGGTCCCCCCAAACTAAATATTTACTATCTGGCCCTTTCCAGAAAAAGTTTGCCAGCCCCTGATCTACTGGATGTGGCCAGTCCCTCGAAGCAACTTTCCATGAACTACTCTTAAATTTTCTACTAGTTCTTCACTCAAGATAAAGGACCTCAGTATGCAGATTTAAATGCATTTAATTTTATTCATTTGTTGTTTTCTTTTCTCCCCAGTGGAATTTTTGGGAATGTCGGGCATTGTTGCTTTAGTCACCGTAGGACTGAATTTAGATTCCTTAACCTTTAAACCAAAGATCGAGTTCGTAATTAATAAGTAAGTTTTCTATTATGTACTTGGTATAGATCTCATAGCTGTTTAGTGCTTAAGGCAGGTGTCCTCAAACTATGGCCTACGGGCCACATGCAGCCCGCCTAGGACATTGATCTGGCCTGCTGGGTGTTTTTGCTGCCGCTGCCTGTCCTGCTTAGCAGCTGACTCTTCCGGGGCCCACAGTCCGGCCCTCCAACGGTCTGAGGGACAGTGAACTGGCCCCCTGTTTAAAAAGTTTGAGGACTCCTGGGGAGTCTCGCCTTCAAAGGGCATCATAAAACTCCCTGTATATAACTTATTTTCTACCTTCAAGTTTTTGATTTTGTTATCGGCTCTCTTTCAGAAGAATTTAAGGTGCCAGTAGTTATTGACATGAATTGATCATCCTATTATGAATAAAGTAGAATGGCTCAGGGACCTTAGTGCTTGATAAAAATATACTTTGGATTGTGGAGATTTTAAAAAATAAAGACTTTTAACTTTGTTTCCTTCATAACATCCCTGAATGACTGTGTGCTAACATGGCAAAGAAGAAAAAGAGAAGTAGCAAAAAGAGGTGACACCAGCGAAACTCTCACCTACCCTTCACACCTGACGATGCCAATCGTCACGTGGCCATCTCTGCACAGAGGAAAACCCACTGGCCCGTCTTCTCAGACAAAGAAGTTAGCCCTTCTCCGAGAGGCTATGATGGCTTACAGAATTGGTTCAGAATTATTGGAGGCCAACTCATACTCTAGTGTGGAAATTCTCACATCAGATGAAAACAAATGCTGAAACGAGAAAAATAAGCCATCGTTCCCCATGAAAATTAATTTATTTAATGGAAGGTGCCATCCACTGCTTTGAAATTATGTCCTTCCTACTTTTTTGTTGCTCAGAATGTCCTTTCTTTTATGAAATGCCAGGGATGGAAGATGGTACTTTGTTTTCCTACTTAGCAAAATTAAAAAAAAAAAATCACTGGCACCTATAACTATTCCAGTTTGGGGTGTCTGTAAATAAAAGTTTGCTCATTTCTAAAATCCAAAAGCTTAGAAATCACTAGTTCATAGAACATAGACTTGGTGTTATGTCTGAGTTTGGACAGTTTTCTGAGCTCAGTTGTGTCTCCTGTCAGCATCATTATAAATTGTGAACTTTATTCTCTCAACGCTTTAGTCTTTTACCCCTGTAGCAAATCCTTTCTTAATGTCTGCTGTGGGCTGATGTTGCATCTTAGGTTTGGGGCTATGAAAGTCCCTTCACAGAGGGTGCTCCTTGTTCAGTGGCAGACATATCTACATAAGAAAGTAATGGTACCCGTGAATAGTTTATTGGGATTCTACCATGTGTCAGGTATTTTTTTAGGTCCTGTGGAGAGGTTTAAAAAAGTATTCAACTCAGTTATTCCATGACTTCTGAATTCTCAGAAAACTATGCACTGGGGTTTGAGGTCCTCCCATTCATACCCTTGCCCTGTAGGAGTTCTGAAGCAAATGAACCCAGGGAGAGGAATCACCGGGAGAATCACGGTATCTCCTACACTGGGGTAATGCTGTATCAGAGACATGAAGAACATGGTTTAAATATGCAGCTAAAATGAGGCTTCCTAATGCTTCTTTTTCTTTTTTTTTTTTCTTTTATTTCAGATTATTAGGTCACAATGTTTGTGCTTGTTAGGTGAGGTCCCTGTTGTAGTTGTGTCCTACACCCAGGAGGTGTGCCACATACCCTTACATTGTGCCCATCAGGTGGGAGCATACCAATCCCCCCGAATGCTTCTTTCTGAGTGAGGGCCTAGAGACCCATCCGTAAGGACAGTGGTTTATGGGGCGGACACAATCACCTGGTTGGCTGAAAGGGAAAGTCCTGAGAGAGGCAATTGAGAGGAGGCAGGCCTTGGGACCTGCCGTGGATCTCAGACTTGGCTCTGACACAAGAACCATGCAGAGCAGAACACGCGTACTCCGCTGGGGCCTCGGCCCAGGGGCTCTGGTCACTCAGTAAGACCCTTGGGGCTGTTTGGAATGAGCATGTAGATATTTAGAATGCAGTCTGGATGATTCTAATGCTTTCTTCTGCTTAAAAATCAGGGGGATGCAGACATTCAGCACTGCAGGGATTCAGAGGAGTGCCTCAGGTGGTTTCATGGACCACATAAGATTTAGAGTTAGCCTTGCAAGATTTCTAGGAATTCAGTAGAGGAGAAAGCAGACAGGAGAGGCTTTGGAAGTCAGGAGAAGAGCGTGTGCACATCACAGAGGAAGAAGTTGTGTAGAGAGAGTGCATTGAGATGATCCTGTCAGTCATCACAAAGTCAAGGTGAACTGGGTGCCTCCTCGCAGCAACCCTGACTCTGAGCTCAGTTGTGGCAGGCCCAACAGTTGATGGCTGCCAGCTGATCTCAGAGAAAGTGGTAACTCGTCAACTTGAGGAGGTCCTCATTTTTCTGCCTTGCTCTTACTGTCCTGCTGTGAGAAGCAGCCCATGGGTATCGGTACCATGAGGGTAATGGGGACTACGGAACTGGGTGTTTTTAGATCCAACAAAATACTTTTGAGTGTTATTATAACAAAGAGAAAGACCTGTAGATATTCGTAGAAGAGACATGATCTTATGTAAAAAGGCAAATATTTTAAAAATACATTGCTTAAAGTACACCATTCCCTCCTTCATTCATCCTAGGTTCTTACTAATTTTTTCATCTGTATACCAACACTTAATATATGCTTTCTTTGGCATTGTGATTGGATGTGGAGAAATCAAGTATTATAAATTTCACACCGTAGTCTTCATATTCATCTTATATACAACAGTGAATATGGTAAGGTAAGCATTGTATTTTAAAGTTTGTTTACTGAAATTAGGTTGTCAAGCCCAGAATTAAAATTGAGAAGCAGTGGGATAGAGCAAAAAGCACTCTGGACATGGAATCAGAAAACCTGCATTTTTATCAAGGCCTTGATGATGGCAACTTGGGGTAAGTATTTATTTTTTAAGATTTCATCTATAAAACGAGAGGGGGTAGGTAGACCAGCGGCATTGGCATCATATGTAGCCTGATAGAAATGCAAATTCAAGGCTGGATGCGGTGGCTCATGCCTATAATCCTAGTACTTTGGGAGGTTGAGGTGGGTGGATCACTGGAGCTCACAGGTTCAAAACCAGCATAAGCTAGAGTGAGAACTTGTCTCTGAAAATAGCTGGGCATTGTGGCAGGCACCTGTAGTCCTAGCTACTTAGAAGGCTGAGGCAAGAGAATCATTTGAGTCCCATAGTTTGAGGTTGCTGTGAGCTATGATGCCCTGGTACTCTACCAAGGGTGACAAAGTGAGACTCTGTCTCAAAAAAAAGAAATGCAAATTCATGAGCCTATCCCAGTCTACTGAACTGAATCTCTAAAGATGGGATCCAGGAAACAGTTTTAACTTGCTTTCTAGGTAAAGTGTGGGCACCTGTAGACCAGATTCATGGCTTTTAACATTTTTGTGGCCTTTCGTCTGTAGCTACGATAGAGCCATTTACTAAACACTTGCTGTGTACAATATGCCACTAATATGAGTACAACCCTGGGAGATGAGGGTTATCGCATCACTGCACAGATGAAGCTAGAGAGCTTAGAGACTTGCCTGGAGTCAACCAACTTATAAGGGCAGGGCTGGAGTTGAAAGCTAATTTCCTGAGCACGCTTCTTCCAAAATGTCATTGCCCACTAATAGTAGTTGTATCTTTCATAAGAATTCATGACAGTGTCCCTGGAAACTCAGGATGGCAGTCTAGGCTTACCTTCTAAGATTAAACTTGATTTTGCCAGCTCCAGGCACTGCATGAACTCAAGCAGTGCATGACTCTGCATGAGTCAAGCTCACCCAGAAGAATGTGTTCCTGGTCTTGCATGCCGCCCCATCCGCCATCTCAGCAGTGTCGGGCCTAACAGTGGTGCCCACTTGCTGTACCTATGCAGCTGCCATCCAATCAGTAACCCTCTTGTCTGTTCTCTGGCTCTCTGTCTGGGCCTCTTACAAAAACATTTTAAAATTAGACCTTGCTCCCTAGTATATTTCTGGGTCTAAATTCCACCTCCCACCCTTGTGAGCTTTGTGTCTATGTGACTTTGAGCCATTCCTTCATCTAAGCTTCAGTTTATCTCCTGGTGGAATGGGCACAATAATAGAATCATCTCAGAGGGTTGCTATGAGGATTAAATGAAGTAACGCAAGTACAAGCATTTAGCGCCATGCTCGGCACATGGTAAATGTTCAGTAAAGGGAGTTTTTGACTGTTATTATGGCTATTCTTATTTTCTCAGGATGAGAAAGAACTGAAGCTTCAACACCATGAAAGAATTTCCCAAAGAAATGATCTAATTTTAAATCAAAACCTTAATAAAATTGAAACATGAAAACAAATCACACTATCAGATATTTATCAATCATCCAGTACATGCCAGACATTTTTCCAGATGGTTGGGACACTTCAAGGAACAAAATAGCCCTCAAAGGCAAAAATTTCTGTGATTATGGAGTTTAGGCTGTGATGGGCATTTTCAGAAGAAACCAAAAATCATATTAAATGATGAAAAGAAAGTGATAAAGACTATGAAAAACAAAGTGGAGTGAAGGAATTGGTTGAGTCAGTACTGGATAGTGGGCTGCATTTATTTTATTTTATCATTTTTTTTTTAAATTTTAGGATAATATGAGGGTATAAATGGCCAGGTCACAATATTTGAATTCGTTAGGTAGAGTCCCTCTTGTAGTTGTGTCACTCACCCAAAGGATGAGCCGTACACCCCTGCTTTGTGTCCATTAAGTGGAAGCACCCCAAACTCCCCTACATCCCCCCTCCCTCATTCCGTCACCCCCCCAACTTGACTTTTATGTGGGTGTGAATTAGATCATCTACTGGCTTCCACTGTATTGAGTACAGTGGATATTTGCTTTTCCATTCTTATGATACTTTACTGAGAAGAATGTGCTTCAACTCCATCCAGGTCAATACAAAAGATGTAAGAAAAAAAAAAGTTGGTGACTTTATATCTTTTGTAGTAGGCTGCATTTTAAATAGGCAGTCAGGGGAGGTCTCCCAGAGAGAAAGTGACATGTGAGTGAAGATAGGAAAGAGCTGAGGGAGCTGATCAGATAGCAGGGAGAAAAATTTTTAGGCAGAGACTCTTAATTGTGCAGGGCCTAGGGCAGGGGCTGGGTCGGCATGTGTAAGAAACAGCGAGAGGCCTTGGTCACTGCAGAGAAGGAGATGAGATTAGAAGGATACAAATGAAAAAAAGGAGACAGTGGCGGTGGGGGGGGGGGGGGGCAGTGGCTCATGCCTGGAATCCCAGCACTTAGAGAGGTTGAGGTGGGAGGATTGCTCAAGGCTAGGCGTTTAAGTTTATAGTGAACTACGATAGGACCACTCTACTCCAGCCTGGATGACAGAGTAAGACTCTGTCTCAAATCAGAGAGAGAGAGAGAAAACCTGGAAGAACGTGCAGCAACACCTTAAGAGTTGTTACTCTGGGGAATGGGATTTGTAGTGGGGGAATAGAGTCAGAGCATTTTGGCTTTTAACAATTTTATACACATCTTTACTATTTCAAATTTTTAAAGATCATTAATTAAATCATTTTCAAAAGATGATCTAAGCACAGTAAGTATATTCTCTTTTTTCCTCTTTTTTTGATCAACATAATTTAAGTGTGCTGTGGAAGTTTATAAGTTCAAGTGTGCTGGGAAATAAAAAAAGGTTAAAAAACACTGGAGGATATAAAAATAGAAAAAGAAGAAAAACCATTGCTAGAAACAGATTAGGGGAGCTAGGACTAGGATGAGGGTGCCATTTCAACCCCACTCCACCTCGACCCCATTCCCTCCTGTATGGAACTCTATATAATTATACTGTAAGCAAATATGATTATGTGTTGACCATATATTGAGCCCTAGCCAAATACAAGCATCATTACCTATGGGTATTGCCTCATTTAATTTGTCACAGTAATCCTTTGAGGCAAGTACAATTACGAAGATCCGGAGAGCCAGAAGGCACAAATTGAAATTATTCATGTGACATTTAGTATGGGATTCTTATGGGAGCTCAAGAAAAATTGTTGGGTTAAGTTTATCAATGTGTCTACAGTGATTTTAATTTTAGGTTATGATCTGCACATCACCCGGATTCTAATTTTGGAATTCAGCCATTTTGTGGCTTTTTGAGGGGGAATAGACAGGTTTGTCAATGGTCATTGAAGCAGTTTACTGTCCAAATCTGAGCAGTACACACCAGTGGTAACGCTAATTCCTTACATTTGTTTAGAACTTCTAGCATTATTGTTCCAGACTTGAGTATTACACGCAAAATTTAGATAGTAAATTTGGTCTATACCAAAATCTTTGAATGAATTATCAACAAACTGTATTGTGTTTTCTTTTCTTTCTGGGGTAGAGTGCCGTGGCATCATAGCTCACAGCGACCTCAAACTCTTGGGCTTAAGAGATCCTCTTATCTCAGTCTCCTGAGTAGCTGGGACTACAGGTGCCCACCACAATTCCCAGCTTGTTTTCTCTTTTCTGAGCATTTTCTTGTGAAATTTAGTATTTGATACATGATTTCAACCATAAATAACATTGTGTGTGTGTGTGTGTGTGTATGGTGTGATTTATTTATTTTTACTGTTTTTCTCTCCACAGGTTGCTAACTATTTTGTTAGTGAAGCCTATTTTGATGCGTACAAGTTATGAATATAATTGGCAATGGGGAGTTGTTATCACATGGTCTGGAATTAAAGGATTTTTTAGCCTACTCCTAGCTCCGGATATTTATAATCTGGCTGAACAAAAAGTAGAAGCACCACATATGGTAGGGAAAATCATGTCTCAAGATTTTTTGTTTTTATTTATTTTATTTATTTTGTAGCATTTGTAAATGTATCCAATAATAACAGTTTTGAATTAGATCTTATTTTATACCTATATGTAATATATATTTTTTGAGACAGAATGTCACTTTGTTGCCCTGACTCGAGTGCTGTGGTGTCATCTTAGCTCACAGCACCGTCAAACTCCTGGGCTCAAGAGGTCCTCCTGACTCAGCTTCCTGGGTGCTGGGACTACAGGTGCCCACCACACCGCCTGGCTACTTTTTCTATTTTTGGTAGAGACAAGGTCTTGCTCTTGTTCCGGCTGGTCTCAAACTTCTGAGCTCAAGGCTCACATGCCTTAGCCTCCTAGAGTGCTGGGATTACAGGCGTGAGCCACCATGCCTGGCCTTCGAATTAGATTTTAAAAATGAATTCTTTTAAGTAGAAAATTTATTTATGTTGACAGTATGAAAGGGGCCAGCAGTCAAGTGGTGGTTATGGACTTGGGTGTTAGGTGAACATGGTTGCATTCCTCACTCTACCATTCACAGGCTGGGCCTTGGGGGAAGTTCACTAGTCTTGCTAAGCCTCAATTTTCAGTTATGGACTGAGATGGTGCATAGTAAAATAACCTGACACAAGTGCTGTTTTTGTATAGCTGTCAGAAAGCATGAAAAATTAATATTGTTACTGAGAGCATTTCTATCCTATAGCTGTTAGAACAAAAAAAAAAAAATGAAACACAAGTAGAGTAAGAGAAGAAAGGTTTTGTAAATATTTGAGGTAAGAATCTAGTTACATTTATGTCTTTAGGGCTAATTCTTAAAAATTAATTTCTTAGAAAATTCTTGCTGAGGACTCCATTATCTATAGTGAAAAACAAAACTGGGTTTCCTTTCTTCTCTTTCTCAAAGCCTTTTCCCATGGGTACCTGGTGGATTTCTGGGCAATCTGATGGTGGTGGCAGCCGTGGTACTGACACTCCAGGCAAGATCCTAAGAACCCAGTGCATCGCTGGCCACTTCTCATATTAGGGTATCTGATCCTTTGTGTCAGTACTTTTGAGCTAGCTAGAGAAGTTGCTAGAAGTCCCCAGGATCAGCCTCCTGTCTTCTCACTTAGATAACCCTCAAACCTGTTTCTGGGAGGGAGAAAGTCTTTTTTTTTTTT